TGTCAATCACCGTTGAAACGAACCATTTCTCAGCAGGTCGACCGATTCGAGCATCCCGAGAGTGCTCAAAGCTATTCAGTCTCTTTCTCTGGCTTTAAGCCTTGATGGTACCGACAGAATCGTTCTGTCTCCTCATTCCAGCGAGCCATGGCGCAATCTGGTGTTCCACAGCTAAAACGACTCGGTAATGACGGTGTCAAACTTCAAAGTACCTCACCTACCTTACGGATACATGGTCCCAAAGTCAAAAAGTCTACCAACGCTTGCTACGCTACGCTACGTTCTATGCCCGAGTGCGCTGCCGTCGTCGACTTGTCATTCATCGCCTCCAAACTTAGGTTTCCGGTCCAAACAACACCCCCCGTCAACTGGGTATCTGATCCAATCTTGACTAACGGCAAACGCAAGCCCCATACTTTGCAACGAATCTTGCGCAGTCATCAACTCTTCGCCTGCAGCCCAGCACGCTCATCTGGGCAATCAGCTACCTATCCTCGGGGGCTGCTCGTCCCTGCTTCGCCTTGCCTCGCCTCAAGCTCGTCTCATTGCTCAGGCTGCTCACCTTCTTGCCTGGCGCCACCTGCCGTCGCTCTTGGTACCAGCCAACCGGATCGACAGACGGCAGATCCGCGCTGGCACTGTCTCGAGACTCGACTGTCCGGGATCGAGACTTTGTCCACTTCCACTTTGTGTTTCTTCAATGGTAGCGCTGACCGTAGCTCTCGTCGTTGCCTCCTTGCCGGGCGGACGGAATGAGATAAGACATGCGTCCAAACGCTGCGCGGCCAACCAGTACACACCCATCACCCACAACAGGTCGTATTGTCACTATTGTCGGGGTCTCGGGAATCGTTGGAACTGGAGACGCAACAGCCTTACTCGATATGCATGCCTCAAACAACGCGAGAACCAACAGGAACCTCTCTAGCATAGCTGCATCGCTACTTTGCAGGAAAGTACCGTACTGCTTCGGTGACCACCACGACGCACAAGTGCCCCAGGCCGATACTTCTCCGACGATTTCATCCATGGCCTAACTTACTCTCATGTCACCCTCTCATCCCAATCCAGACGTCTTTGCCATGTGTGCACGTCTCAGGCAACCACTCGTCCAAACGAAGTTTCTCCTCACTTTCTCCTGCTATGCATGCGCCTATCCAACGGCACGAACCATTGATCAAAAGAATCGACTTTTCTGCCTAGACTTTACATGTGGTTCTGTTCATGCCTCAGGCTTCCACAAGTCGCCTGGAACCCCTGTCTGGTGACAATGGAACCTTTTGACATCACCAATTCTGGCCTCGAATCGCACATATCCCCACTAGAAATCTCTCTGAAGCAGAGCGGCCGAGAGGCGAAGCTCAAAAGACCAAGGCAGAGAGTCGTTCGGTGTGCCTGGCCGGCTGGCAGCAACCATTGACGGCGCAACCCACTCCACTAACCCACTAACACCTCCGAGACACATGTCTCGCTGGCCAGCCCCCCATGCAAGTGTCATTCGCCGTCCCAAAGGGGCAATCCGAATCGGGTGCCGCGCCCTCGGAGCCGTCATCCATTCTCGACGATCACTGTCCGCTCAAGATACACCTTTTGTGGCGTACAAAAAGCCACCCTATCTTCTATAGTTACGAAGTAGAAGGGTGCGAAACGTTCGGCTTCATCATATCAACTTTTCGACCATAACTATGGAGCAGTTGTTCCGGGCGGTCTCTATCAGACAGGTCTTGGTTCCCCGGCCGATCTTCACGCTCTAGTCCATCCCTCCCGAGTACCACACGGGGACCCATCCCCGCGTGCTCCAACTTCAAGCTCCTCCGCCCCCTTGGCGGGTGGATGCCCGCATCACCCGAGGTCCTAGCGTCAAAATGACAGCCTCGCCGGCAGCGATCGACAATCCATCTATCGTCTCCAGGCCAATCACCAATATCAATGAGTGGCCACAGTGAAGCACAAACTGAACGGAGGAAAGACGGAGTGGCACAGGAGATCAAGGTGCGGCTCCAAAGTCGGCGCAGCAGTCTGGGGAAGTACGACTTCTGCCCCTACGGAAAGATGACGGTCGAGAATTACCCCTTCGTCTCGCCATACAGCGTGGCCAAGTTGGGGGTGTTTAGACCAGGCTGTTTGACGCGCAATGCGGAGCGCCAATCGAGACCGGCATCATATTTTCTTCTCTCGAACGACTCGATGCTTCCCTGGAGTTATTGGCCGCGCTCATTGCCGTGTCGCCGAACCTGCATGCCCTGTTCGGGTTTTTGCAGCACCTCTGATACGTGATGATCGACGTCTCCGCATAGGAGGCTTGAAAACTACGTCCATGTTCTGGCTCCCGCCAAGGTACTGCCAGGGTTTCTGCCTAGCCATCTGTGTCACTAGAAGTACGGATACCATGCCCTGTTGCAGGCTTCGACTCACAAAATCAAGAGCACCCCTGGAATGGGCATGCCTAGATCAGTGGCTCTGTCTGGTAGCAACACTTCCCATCTTTACAGTTTTGTCCGCAAGAAAACAGGCTTCCTTCATTGTATCGTAACCTAGGTCTCACAGGCAGCACTCATCACTGCTCCACGAAAAACGGTAGGATCCGTCGATTGCGTCTCGAATCTCCCTGACTCCCCGATATTGAAAACCTGATCACCTTGCTAACACATAACGTCTAGGTCGCTCAGGGGAATGGGGCTGAAGCCCAAAGTACGCAGCACACCTGAATCTTATGCTCATTGCTGACCCCGCTACTTGGAAGAATTACGGTTCACCGCAGCGTCGATCAACTCACACAGCCGTTTCTCTCTGGCGCAACTGACAAGCTTCAATCTGTCGGATCGCCTGCGACAACACACCTTTGTGTAACAGGGATGGCTTACTGGACTCGGTGTCTGCCTCGGACAGCGTTAAAGATCTCCAAGTCATCGACACAAGCTTGTAGACGACTTTGCGTTTTCTGCAGCAGAATCTGGAAGACGCGACACTATTTTTGAATTGGCTTACGTTGACACTGAGATATAGAGTGATGGCAGATCGATTTGGTCAACTGCAGCATCCCTCTCCCCGTGAGATGGCGATCTTGCCGGTCGAGACCTGTTTGAGCTTATGCCTTGGCTCGTCCGCTAACACTTCTACTCAGGGCTTAGACTTGTTGTTGACAGCGACTCATACCGGATACGCAACATCATCATCTGCTTCCCAAGGCAGACGCAACATGGTCAGCAAAATGCTGGTTGAAAGCTCATTTCGCCCTCGAGAGCACCATTATCTCTTGTTTCATTCACGCAGACGCAAATCCCGGTGTACACATGGTTTCTAGACGAAGAGCACACGGTGCCCTCCACCCTCTGGGAAACGATTCACGCGGATGAACCCCTCTATCCCTCTCCGTCAAGGTAGGATTCTATAGACAACGATAAACTCGTTACTCCACCATACGTTTTGTGAGGGTGGGTACATTTGGCCTCAACTGTGTTCTAACCCCTGAACTGGTTTGCCTGCCCGGTTGCCCGCACTCCATCTTGGCTCCATCTCGTGTGACTCAACCCTTCAGATGCCATATAGCCAGCGCAGGAGTCAAAGAGAGAGAGGAGAAGGGGGGGGGGGGGTCCAAACCTCTGCCTACAGAGATACATTGACGACACAGAGATAATATGTACCATGTAAGTTCTTGGCTTCGAGATGTTTCTAGGCAGCTAGCTGTGAGCGGACCAAGATGTGTCTGTCTGTCTACCATCGTTTGACATTCTCAACTGAGATAATGGTAGATATGATGTGAGTCAAGAAAAAAACAACCCGAGTATAAACCGTTCAATAGAAACTAGGAAAATTGAACTACTTTCGTTTCATTATCCCGTAACAAGACGTATCTGAATGTAAGGTGTCATGTGTCATAAGAACATACAGAAACATACCGAACAACGCACGTCTATTCAGCAAGTAAGCTCAGCTACCTTGTAGACCCCCAGACTGAAACGTGTGAGAGAGAGAGAGAGAGAGAGAGAGAGAGAGAGAGAGAGAGCTTGCTTGGGTCGACCGCCCGGGTCTGAGTCACGACAACGTCGAGCGTATGAGCGCGCGAACAGGGACATGTACGAGAGATATGACGGTACAGAGAGAGAGAGAGGGTGGGAAGAACAGCTTTCGATGCGGCTCAACGTGTCCGACACCACCCTTTGCAGGTTTGCCCGACTACCTACCCAGCCATATCTGCCTGCCGAGAAGCCATGCATGCGAAAAATGCAGCTTACCAGATTCGTACAGCTCCAGCTCCAGCATCTGGCCACTCACGTACAGTCTCACAGGAACGAGGCATCGCCGGTGGTGTCAGCGACGCGTGGTGCGACTTTTCAGTATACATCCCGCGTACTTTTCAACACCTCTTTCTCGTTTCGACAACAATCTTTTTTTCTTAGCTCGTTCTAATCTCTAACTGAATGTATCCATGAAGCAGTCCTTCGAGGGGACCAGCCACAGCGCCGTTGGGTATGCGACATCTAAAGAAGTAACATTGGGGAGCGGCGAATGCTTTTGCACAGTACGCCCTCTGCTTCCCCCCGCGCCGATGGCCTATGCTCCGTATGCTCCATGCTCCGTACCCGTATGCGATGAATTTGAAAAAAAAAAAAGGGATCCCAAATGCTGCCTGTCCCGGGCAAGGGCAAGCGTGTGACCTGACCCTGCCGTGAGACCACCCCGGACCCCCCCGCGCTGCAACCTTGAAGCTGCCTCCTTTTTTTCTCCCTCTTTCGAGGGCAGACAAATAACATGCGCCTCCGAGGAAGCGATGCTCTTTGACGACCCCCAACTAGATATTCATACCAAGTCGCAAAATGCTGCGTCATTAAGGCTATTCATCAGAGTCCGTCTTTGGATCCCGATTTTGACCAACCGTACATCACACTTTTGTGTGGTGTGACAGGACACCAGCCGCTCGACGATCATTGGCAAGTACACCTCGTTGGAGAGCGTATCTGTCCGTCATCACTACCATCTCAGTGAGCCTCTACATTCACTTAGTGGTGCGCCGCCTTCTCGACAGTGGGAAGCTCCTTGAGCGCCTCGCCAATGATGTTAATGGCCTTGCGAAGCTCGGTCTCGGTGATGACCAAAGGAGGGGCGAAGCGGATGATGTTGCCGTGCGTAGGCTTGGCCTGTGAAAAGCAGACGGGTCAGTCATGTGCCGTGTGTGACAGTATACCAGGGGCGTTTGCGACTTACCAGGAGACCCTTCTCCTTCAACAACAGGCATAGGTCCCAGGCCGTGCGGCCAGCGGTAGCCGACTCGTCAATGACAACGGCGTTGAGGAGACCCTTTCCACGCACCAGCTCGACAATGGGCGAGTTGAAGGCTCTGATTCCCTCGCGGAAGATGTTTCCGAGCTTCTCAGCCTTGGCAGTCAGGTCTTCCTCCTCCATGATCTCCAACGCGCGGATGGACACTGCGCATCCTAGGGGGTTACCGCCGTAGGTGGAACCGTGGGTGCCGGGCTCGACGACAAGCATGATCTCCTTGCTCGACAGAACGCAGCTGACGGGGTACAGACCACCAGAGATGGCCTTGCCCAGGGTGATCATATCGGGCTTGATGCCGGCCCACTGGGAGCACAACATGCGTCCGGTGCGGCCGATACCAGTCTGGATCTCGTCGCAGATGAAGAGGACGTTGTGCTTCTTGCAAAGGTCGTTCACTCTCTTCAGGTAGTCGTCGTCGGGGACAACGACGCCAGCCTCGCCCTGGATCGGCTCGATGATGATGGCAGCAGTGTCCTTGCCGTGCGCCTCGAAGACCGCCTCGATATCCTCGACGTTGTTGTAGCGAATGGCCTTGCCCGTGGAAGGGTTCAGGGCGCCGATGTTGGGGACATAGGGGCCGTAGTTGTCCCTCGATTCGGGGTCGACTGACAGAGAGATGGCAGTCATCTGCGGGAGTTTCATCAGCCTTGGTCGGGGGGAGGGGGGGGGGGGGGACGCAGCTGTCAGCTGCAGCATCTCAGAAAGGTACTCACTGTTCGGCCGTGGAAATTGTCGTTGACGGAGAAGACCAGAGCCTTGCCCTGCTCAACGCCCTTGACCTTGTACGCCCACTTGCGCGCAATCTTGATTGCGGTCTCGACGGCCTCGGCGCCCGTGTTCATGGGCAAAACCATGTCGTAGCCAAAGACCTGCTGGATCTTCTCGGCCCACTTGGGGAAGACATCGTTGTAGAAGGCTCTCGAGCTGAGAGTCAGTCTGCTGGCCTGCTCGGTCAGGGCCTTAACCAGCTCGGGGTGGCAGTGGCCTTGGTTGACGGCGCTGTAGGCGGAGAGGAAATCGAGGTACTGCTTGCCCTCGGGATCCCAGACGTGGACGCCGCTGGCCTTGGAGAAGACGACAGGCAGCGGGTGGTAGTTGTGGGCGGCGAGCTCCTCCTCGGACTTGATCGCGGCCTGGGTGGAAGAGGCGTGGTATCTCGACTCCACTCCGCCATTGGACTGAGGGGTGCCGCCGTTTGCGTGGGGGGCCATGTTGCCTGATTTACGTTGGATGGACTTGGTGAGAGAGAGAGAGAACAGTGTGGATGAGGTGAGTGGAATGGGTACTTGAAAAAGGATCAATTGGCTCCAGAGAACGTTCAATTGTTGTCAGAGAGTGTTTGCGACTCAGGACAAGTGGCCGTTCAAGTATGGTTCGCGGGCAAGAAGATGGAGAGTTGAGAGAAGGAGAGCGTCAAGGGAAGAGGACGGGAACGAGGGGCAAATCGCGGGGTCTTGGGTAGTTATACCCCCCCTGGCAGAAGGCCCGGCTATCCTTGACTAAAAGGACTCAAGCGCGATACGGAAGCAGAAAACCAGGAAACCAGGTGGTCGTGGGAAAGCGGCGGCGGCGGCGGCAACGTGGACAGGGTCCAAACATGGCCGGAGGCGGACGATACGAGTAGGAAGTACATAGGTAGTAGGCCTGCCGGGCTGGTACAAGCACGAAAGACAAAGCAGACGAGACGGGCATGACGGGTTCTGGCCAGTTTGTGGATTTAAAAAATCTAAGCCATGCAAAGTGTGTGAAAAACGGCTGGACCTTGACCTGGAACCAAACTCTTGGTGTCGGAGTCAGAAGGCGCGCCACTATGCCTTTAAGTGCAGGTATGTTCCCCTAAGCGCAGGTATAAGCGGCTCAAGTGGGTGAGTGGGCAGGATGACGCCCGAGGGGGCCATGTAAGGGAAACCATCCCGGTGCCAATTCAGTCACATGGCCCCGGGGGAGAGAGAGGGGAGGGGTGGCGCGGACGTAGGAAAAAGCAGTGCGCTCGGTCACCGGTGGTTTCTTTGATGCTTTTCTCTGGGGTAAGAATCTCGTAATGGAATATGGAACAGGATGCAGTTGCTTGGTGTTGCCGCGGGTTGTAGTCTGGGGGAAGGGGGGCAGATGACTGCATGGTGTTGTTGATGATGGATAGTCAACTTTCAAGAGAGGAAACCACCAATCCCGTCAGAGGGAGCAACCAAGCCGAGCCGAGAGCCTCTTGCCAATGCGGCGGGGGGGAGACAACAACTGCGAGAAGCTGGAACGAGGAATGAGGAATGCAGCGAGGCCGATAACGGGCATCTGTGCTTGCGGCGTTGGAGAGGCACAGCAAGCCCTATCTACGCTATCATATTTCTTTTGCGTTGCAGACGGCCAACAGTGTAACCATTTGTCGACAACTCGAGAAACCGCATACACGTAGGCACTATATCCAACGACGTACGATTGGACCGAGTAGAACAAGATAGGGAATTACATGTAGATAAACCATGGATCGTGGTGCGTGGAGAATACGCAGAGTGACAGAGTGCCTGCTACTGGGGCCGATGCGGACGGCAGAGGAAAGGGCTCCGTGGCCCAATGACAAAGACGCTATTTCCATTCCCGCTGCTCGGATCCAATAGGGCCGTCCAGTTATATGGAGACAGCATGGGATCCAATGAGCATCTGTTTTACCGTTAGATAAGTGGATAACACCAGGTTCTTGCCTGAGAGTAAGTACTGATTTTGGTTGCCTGTGAAGCAAGGCAACAAGGCTACATTTGGTCTTGTGTCCTCATCACCTTACTACCTTGAGGTACGTAGGTAAGGTAGGTTCCTCAGGTAGGTTCTTCAGGCTTCGGCGACTGGTTCTTTAGTGACCAATTGCCTGAGGACGCTGGCATGTCAATGAAACTTAGCGCCTCTGCTTCCGTCCACGGCCCTGCCGTAAGCCCGCAACATCCCTGGCCTTCCCGTCTCGACATTCCATTAGCGATCGAGAACACCGCTTTTCGGCATCAACTTTTCCATCAGAGCCCACACACTCCTTTCTCTCTTCCCCTGTGCCCCCCTTAGCTAACGGCCACACGGCAAACCGCGAGAAAAGGAAAAGGGCGAAAAAAAGAAGAGAAAAGTTTGTTTGGTTTGACACACGAGCATACATTCGAACAAACGGCACCACCATCAACACACCCTGACTCGCCTCATCGCTCCAAAAACCCTTCGGACTCCCCGTTGCGTTGACCGAACCGTTCGTTTCCCACGCCGCCAACGCCGTCGCCGTTCCTGCAAGAAAGGTCATTCCACCCTTAGCAGCTCACCGCAACCCCCTCCCCCCCCCCCCTTTCCCCTTTCCCCCCGTCCGACGACCGATGATTACGCAACAAGTCCCTTCCGTCCCCCCACCCCGCCAGACTGCCGCCGCCGCCGCCGGCCACAAACTCTCCAACTCACCGTATCCACAATGGCTTCCGTCGGCTCCCCGCCCGCCCCCGAACTCCTAATGGCAGTTCGTAACGAGCACAACAAGCCCTCCGTCTTCCGGTCCCTCCTCGTCATCCGTCTCCTCAACGCCTGGTGGGTCCTCACCTTTTTCCAGCCCGACGAGTACTTTCAGGCCCTCGAACCCGCCTGGCGCATCGCCTTTGGCCAAGGGAGCGGCGCCTGGATCACCTGGGTGAGTTTCCATGCTTCTCTATTCGCAATTTTTATTCATCATCACTATTCACAAGCTTCATTGATCCCACGTGCAACTAACACACACACCCCCCCGCCCCCCAGGAATGGAGAAACCAGCTCCGCTCCTCGCTGCATCCCGCCCTCTTCGCCGGCGTCTACACCCTCGCAGACCTCGTCGCCCGGCCCCTCCCCATCATCAGGCCATGGCTCCTCCTCGCCGCTCCAAAGGCCGCGCAGGCCGTCTTTGCCGCCGCCGGCGACTGGTACACCTGGCAGCTGGCCGTCAAGATCTACGGCGCCGATAGCTCCGTCTCGTGGTTTGCTGTAAGTCACCATCACCACCACTACCACCACCAGTAGCCGTTACAACTGCTACCTCCGCACGACTTGTCAAACCATGGCTGACGCAACGTCCTCGTATAGCTGTTCATGAGCATGTTCAGTCCTTTCCAATGGTACTGCTCCACCCGCACCTTTTCCAACTCGCTCGAGACCACGCTCACCATCATGGCCCTCAACTACTGGCCCTGGGAGCTCCTCGGTGATGCAAAGACGGAAAAGGAGAACCCCAAGCCCGCAAGGTCCATCTTGCACACGCCAGGGACGCTCACGAGGTACGTTTCCGTCTCTCGCATTTTGACACCGGCCGGCCACCCACCTGAACCGGCCCCCAAAGAAACACATTCACTCACACGCCAATAGTCTCCGCCTATCCCTCGTCCTTGCCGCAACAGCAGTCCTCCTCCGCCCAACAAATATCCTCATCTGGATACCAATCGCCCTCGCAACCCTCCTCCGGCCCCTCCTCTCCGGCTCCGGCCCCGGCCCCACCACCTCCGTCCTCACCCCGCAAACCATCCTCCTCCTCCTCCGCGAAGCCCTCCTCTGCGGCACCCTCGTCCTCTCCCTCTCCCTAACCTCAGACCGCCTCTACTTTGGCCAATGGGCCTTCCCCCCCTACAAATTCCTCTACTTCAACCTCTCCCAATCCCTCGCCGTCCTCTACGGCCGCAACGACTGGCACTACTACCTCTCCCAGGGCCTCCCCCTCCTGTCAATGACCTACCTCCCCTTCGTCCTCCTGTCACTCTACAACCCGCCCTCACCACCACCACCGCGCTCCACCAAACTCCCCAGCAAAGCAACCCTCAAAACCCTCACCTGGACAGTCTACACCACCATCGCAGCCCTCTCCACCGTCTCCCACAAAGAAGTCCGCTTCATCTACCCCCTCCTCCCAACCCTCCACATCCTCGCCGCCGCGCCCCTCGCATCCTTCTTCACCACCCCGGCCCCGCCACCGACCCCGCGCTCTCCGCTCCCGAAGCCCCGCCTCCGCCGCAAGCGCCTCCTCGCCTCCGCCCTGGGCCTCCACGCCGCAATCGCCTTCTTCCTCACCCTCCTCCACCAGCCCGCGCCCCTCACGGTCCTGACCTTCCTCCGCACCTCGTACGCACGCATACACCCGGAGCAGGCCGCCGCATCGGCCCCGATCGCGTCCCTGGCCTCGGCCTCGTTGGCTTCCTCCTCCTCCTCATCACCGCCAACACCAGGCTCATCATCCTCGCCAACGACAAAAGAATCACAAGGCAACGAACTCTTCGCCCTCTTCCTAACGCCATGCCACTCCACCCCCTGGCGCTCCCACCTCCTCCACCCCGCCCTCCGCGCCCGCGCCCTCACCTGCGAACCGCCCCTCCACACCAAACCAGACACCCCCGAACGCGAAGCCTACCGCGACGAGGCGGACCGCTTCTACGACGACCCCCAGCTCTTCATGGCGACCGAGTTGTGGCCGGCAGCCGAGGCCAGGTCCAGCCCCGACTCCGACTCCGAGCCAGCAGCAGCAGCAGCAGCAGCATCATCATCATCAGCACCACCACAAGACATCCCCCGCTACATCGTCGGCTTCGAAGGCATCGAACCCTGGCTCCACGACTTCTTCTCCCCCCCCCACGGCGCAGGCCACAATCTCGGCGTGAGCCCGAAACGCGTCTGGTCAGGCTGGAACGGCTTCTTCAACGAGGACGCCCGCCGGCGCGGGAAGCTCGTCGTTTGGGATACGGGGCTGTATACTACTGTATCCTAAACACAAAAAATCAAACAACTTTAGTAATGGTCAGTGTAGGAACAAGAGTAAAGAGTCGAGAAGTAAAAAAACGGCAATGAGTTCCATTCTCACATACCCCTTCCCACACAAGAGCATCATCGTGAACTTCAAATATGACAAAAAATTCTTTCTTTTCCTACCCTATCCTGGGCCCGTGAACACATGTAACCAAATCCCCAGGAAACGTTAGAGGGACAGGAGCGGCCGGGGCTACTACACGTCATGACAAAAAAGAAAACGCCAACTTGACAGGATACCCTTCATAGCGAGCGAGCCCGTAGACAATGCGTCGCTGTACACCAAGCCAGAGAATCGAACAACTCCGTACATTTATGATGATTCACCAACAACAAGCACGCACATGCCTCCTTTTTCTTTTCAAACGTTCAAACGTGGATTCTTGAAACTTTGGGTTGGCCTCGCCTAGGCCGGCCCCCCTTCCCCTTCCCCCTCAGAAACCCTTGATGTATCAGGTCCAGCCATGAGTGAAATGAAATATTCCACAGAAAAACGTGCTCTTGATAAACAAAACACCTCAAATGGGCATACTTCGAACGCGGCTCATTGTCGGTATTACCGCGCCGCTTCAGGTGCTGGCTGCGTTGGCGGTGCGATCTCCGGCTGAGAGGCTGCTGCCAACTGAGACTTTGCCGGTTGGGCCGGTGCTGGTGGGTTTGCTACGATAGATGCGGGAGGCGGCGATACTGGACTCGTTACCGTTGGAGATGATGCCTGCTGCGATGGTGCTGATGTCGGCTGGGGTGGCGGAGGTTGAGAGGTTGTGGTTTGCGTCGCTACCGGCTGAGCCGCCGCCGTCTGAGTTGGGGCCGCTTGCTGCGGCAATGGTGGCACAGGTGGGTTCTGTGCCCTCTCGTCGGGTTCCCTGCGAATATCTAGACTCTTTCCCCTTCCTGACATGATGCTGGAGCCTCCCAAAGAAGATTGTCGGTCTGCTGGGGGCGATTTGTTCCGTCGCTCAGCGCTCTCCTTGGCTTCACGGTATTTGTTCCTAATCCAACCGATGGGCCCCTTAGATTCGTCCTTGCCGTCCTTGTCCCGCGATTCATGACTGGTTTGTGCCTCGGCAGTGTACATGCCAGTTTCTGAACTTTCACCGGTGAAGCTCTTCCGGGGCCTGTATCCGCCGCTGCCGATCGAGGTCACGCTAACGTCGGCATTATCGTTGGATCCGAATGCCAGACGCGGAGAGGTGATTGAAGGGTGGTGCTCGTGGCCCCTCTGTCGTGAAAGTCGCCATCTTCTCTTCTTTTCCTTATCCGGCTCGCTGGCGTCTGCCGAAGTCGTCACAATGGATTCTTCAGTCTGATCAACGTCAGAACCTTCGTTAAATGATGAGTGAAGTGATGTCGGCGGCGATTTCTTAGCCTTGAGCGTCTGCTCGGGATGTAGGGTGTTGCTAGAGGGGACCTGTGATGCACGCGGGGTGGGTTCCGAGGGTGTATCAACTGCACCAGGCTGCTGGCCAATCGCGAGGGAATCGTGCTCTGGGATTGTATCGGCCACCAGATCCATGGGGTTGGGGGCCTCAAGACTAGGGGACACAGCGGCTGAGTGCGTACCGGACAAGGATGCGGCCGAGCTTTGCGCGCTCGGGTTCAAGCTCCCAGGAATGCGCTTCTTCTTCAGTTTGTTCGGTTGTCGTTTCTCGCCCTCTCCCGTGGGGGATCTTTGGAATATGCTAGGAAGGACTCTTTCCTTGATGGGCGTCGTAGCTTCATTCGGGTCAAGCAGCCTCTCCTGGCTTCTGCCTGCATTGCCAGCAGCGGTGGGTGCCAGGCTGGATGTACCTATTGCAGCCGGCGCGGGGGAAATGCTCGACGCAGCAGGGGACTGATCAGGTGCTTCGACAAGCTCTTCCGTCGTCGCCGGGATCATGGGCTCACGCGGTGACGAGCCTGGAATGGGTGAAGCATCACGTCTGAACCTTCCCGTCTGAAGAGCAGGGGACTTCTTGGAAGGGACTGTGTTGCTTCTGCCAAGGCCGCTATTCGGGGTTGGTGCGAGTGCCGGGCTGTTTGGGGTCGTAGAACCTTCATGGTGCGAGTGCCTTGAAGATGTCGATCGGTTTCTTCTGAGCATTCCGTCTCTTCGTACACTGTCGGCGCCGGCACTGGCATTGGATGAAGACCGACCCAGACCCGACTTCCTGTTAGGGTTAGGAGTCACTGGCCCACTGGCTGCAGGGGGTGTGCCTTTTTCGATCAGCTGCTTTGTCTTCTCGTCAGTAGCCGTGCCCTGCATGCCAATCAAGAAGTGATCCTGGTTTTCGATGAGGAAAATGAGCACGCATTGGTTCAAGCGATACTCTTCAGGCGCCATGGCGTGCTGCGGGTGCGACAGCATGCCGGGTTGGAAGATTGCTGCTAGATTCTGTGAGTTCATCCTGTTCTCTTCCGACTTGGCGGCGAAGACAGCGAGCAAATCCAGAATGTATAGCAGAAGCTGGCGATTCAGTGGTGGAAGTTCCGTGATGAGCTTCTGGTACTTGACGATGGCTGCTTGATCGTCAAAATTTTCGACAAACTGCGGGCCTTCGGCATCGCCCACGGCTTGCCTCGTGGCGCCTCGCAACGGTTCCCTGAACTTCTCGTATAGATCTAGCGGCACAACGGGCTCAGGAAGGTCGTTGAGGTATCGTCGGAGCACGTTGGCAGCATCGTGAACCGTGTAATTGTCCCACACCAAGCCCTTTCCGTAGCGATCGGGTGAGTCGAAAATCTGTTTCAGTTCCTTGATTCGTTTCTCGGAGCCACTGAGGCGGAAAATGCCCTCCACCGTTGTTGCTAAGAAGACGGGACGTGAGCATGTTGGAGATGGACCGTCATTCAAGTACACTTACCCTTTTCCTTCAAGAAGACGCCGCACTTGGCGACAACAATCGGTACGTAGCCATAAATATAGCTCTTTCCGTTCTCGTCGACAAGAGATATCGCCACATTGGCGTAGGTGATGCTCTGACGGAGAGGAACGCCGAAAATTCCGTGAGGCCGGTTGTCTGCTGTAGAAACTTTAGCACATGAAGTAGAAGACGTTTTCACAGCCGCGCGGATGTGCTTGGCACACTGGCGCACAGGCATGGTGATAGACAGGGACAGCCTGTTGAGCCGACCAGTCGGGTTCAAGGTATTGGAGGCTGTCGCATCACTCGAAGCGCAGACTTGAGGTAAAATGGGATCGCAGGACCCAACAGGATGGGTATCTTGCAACAGCAAGACAAGACTGAGAGGTGCGGCTGACGTATCGATTGCCTCGTCGACATCTTCACTGAAGAGGGTTTGGGTGGGAGTTGGGGTTGGTTGTTGCGATGCGAAAGTAGAAGGGGCTCTACCGTGATGTTCCTGATGCTTCGAGGGAAGCTTGAATCCTTTCCACCACGACTTCAGGTCTCTCTTATTCGGAGTCGAGGGCGCGGCGGGCGCGGTCGAGTTACTCGTGGGCTGAAAAGCCTGGTTGGGGGGAGTAGCGGCGGACGTCATCGCAATGACGGAGCGCAGGTGGTCGGAGCTCAATTACTTTATCGCAGCCAGCGTCCTTTGGTTGTCGTGGGAATCGAGTATGAACAAAGTGTGTCAAGCGACAGAGTTTTGTCGAGCGACGATCAAAGAAAGTTGGATGTTAGAGACAGATTCAGTGCAGTCGGTCTTCGATCTGTAGGTCAATCGATTGGTCGCTTGGTCGCCTGGTGGTGTTTTGGCACAGGATCGAGTCGCTTGAAAGGTATTGGGTGTGAGCATGCGCTAGGATGAGATGCGACGCGCAGGCGGTGATTGGCCGTGGGCTTCTTTTGGCGCGCAAATATTCCTTTGTCGAGTGAAGCGCTCCTAGAGACCGTCTCTGGAAGTCCTCCTTGTCTTGTGTTGCAAAAGCCCTGCTGTTGATGTCATGAAGAAGTTCCGACCCAAGTGTGAGTAGGAAGGGGAACAGGGGCGAGCGAGTGAGGTGACGAAGAGCGTCCGTGTAGGTGAAATGACCCAGGTGTATTCGGGCAGCGTTGACCGGGGACAGAGGGCGGCGGGCGACGACGATGCGGAGCTAGAGAGGGGATGGCGGGAGTCGGTAAGACACGAGCGAGCTGTGCGTTGGTGGGAATTTTTCGACGACAGAAAACGAATGGAAGCGAGCGACGTTTCCGACCAGAAGACTAGGCGCGACAACGACTCGTTGAAACCTCGTTGACGATAGTTGTCGGTCAGGCAAAATAGGGCAAGGAAAGAAGGAGTTTGGTCTGGAGAAGAGAGTCTGGGGATTGAGTAAGGTAGAAGGGGGAAGGAAAATGCGAGGTATGTGCACCGGTACCAGGTAAGCAATAGGAAGGTGAGTAAGGTGAGGTGAGGCAAAGGCAGAGCTCAAAGAGAGAGAGAGAGAGAGAGAGGGCGAAGCAAGTACGGAGTCGGTACGGAGCACTTTAGGTACGAATAGACGAAGGCGGAGGGACGCAGGAGAGGTTGCAGGTGCCGGTGCAAGTCAGAGGTCCAGGTCCAGTCCAGGTCCAGGTTGGGGTTCAGGTCCAAGTGGTCCAGGCCGGGCGTAGGTGTAATGTGCGGGTGCGTATGTGCGTAAATCGGGCGAGGTCAGGAAATGTAGGTAGTAGTACCTAGGTGATGTAAGGCAAGGCAAGGCAAGGCAAGGTCAGAGAGAGTGTGTGAAAGAGAGAGAGAGAGGAAGAGAGCACCTTAGGTGAGGTGTGAGGTAAGGCAGACACCCAAGGTAAGGTAGGAAAAGAGGTGTGGAGGGAAGGAGTATGGGTGTGCGCTAGACACGTTGTCGTCAGTGGGTGATGAGACCAGTACTTTTTGTTTCCTTTTCTTCTAATTTGATTCAATCTCACAGGCAGCAACTCCAGGCCAGGCTGGAGTGTCGACGCTGGTAAAGTTGATAATGGACAGTGAATGAGCGTAGTGTAGTTGAGTGAGTGAGACTGTAATAAGAGAAAGACTGAGACTGAGACTGAAAGCGAGAGTGAGGTTTTGCTTTGCAGCAGCAATGAGTATTACTGAGGTACCCAGCTGTGGACAATGAAGTATGGTACCCAGAGTACGGAGTACGATGTTGGACGTCGACGATGCGGGAACCGTAGACCCTGAGAAGCAAGCATGGAGTCGGGGAAACGCGAAGTACCCAGAGCTGAGCGAATAACGGTTACAGTGCCCAGCGATCCGCGGACAGAGAAATTCAATAGACACACGGCGGGCAGCGTCAAGCAAGCATCAATAACACACACGTACACGCATCAGGGGCAGCAGCACCAGCACCAGCACCAGCAGAAGGAGCATACCAAGCGGTACAACTCGTCAGCGCGGCGGCGGCAGCCAGGCGCTGACATTACGGGACGGGATGGATAACCCGAATCAAGGTAGCAGCAAAGAGCAGGGTTGCCGCCGGTCAGGTGGTCTGGTAGGGCCAGCGACGATGGGGATGGATGAGGGTTGTGAGGGGTTGGACGGCTGCGATACCGATGTCATGCCCATTTGATGGAGCCAGAGGGCAGAGGCTCCAATGTGAACTCAATGTCAATATCTACGCAGTACGCAGTACTCCGTACTTAGCACTAAGGTAAGGTAAGTAAGTAGTGGGCTCAGGGACTGGCGCTGGGCCTTGGCTGGAGAGGTCGGGTGGGAGGAAACGGGAGTGTGGGAGCGGGAGTGGAAACATAAGATACCTGCCTGCCCCGCCACTCTCGTCAGGGAATGGAAGTACCCCTAGGTGAGGTGCGTCTAAATGGCCCGGAGCAGTGCTCACGAGTGGAAGAGAGCTGGCCTGGGACCTTGCAAAAGCTCCAGAAGGCCCAGGGACCAAGACAGGCCAGACACTCCAGGCCCATTATACGGTGGAGAGAAAGACTCGTCGAGGCCCGAAGGCTGCAGCGGCCAATGTGTGCTACTGATGCGCAGTTACGTGCGACGTGGGACGTTGAATGCTGCTGGGCGGAGGCTGCTGGGCGGAGGCCGTTCATTAGCCGTCTGTCACTGGTCATTCCCGACTGTCGCGGACTCACGGCGTCTCCCTGACCACTGGGGTTCCTGGCCAGCTATGTTAGCACTTCACCTTAGCTATTAACCTAAAGTACCCAGACGTCAGGGCCCATGGCAGCTAGTTGCCGGTAGGGTACTGTCACCGATGATCGAAGAGGAGGTGGGCTGGCGATAGCGATGGCGATGGTGATATTTCACCTTGGGATACCTTAGGTACCTTGTTCGAAGAGTAGTCCCTTATCGTGATGGCGGCAGTGGAAATGGAAGACTGCCCTGTGGTTACATATTGCTTGCTGGAGAAAGGCTGACAGCATGCAAGGGGACAACGACACGGCACTTCCTGGTAGATGGACGCAGAGGCACGGTGGTATGCGAGAGGAGACGCAGAAAGAGAATGGATGAATCTGCAAACCTAAGGTAACTCACAGTGTTGTCCACACCCATGTCTCCATATCAAAGGTACGTACCTTACTATGCATACAAGTACAAGTGACAATAAACGCTTTTGTCCATCTCCAGCTGGCAGGTCCAAAGTGAGTGCCGTAATTTCCATGTTGCCATGCACCCAGCTCCAAAGACGGCCAAGTACCTTTCATATGACCATCATGGCAAGATAGTACCTCGCCGCATTTTTGGCTCTGTGGGGCGTCGTCAGGAAGGATCAAATGGGACGACGGGAGGCCTGGGCCATCCTGGGTGCCTGCCACCTGGGTTCTTACCTCTAGGGGCTGGCAGAACTTCGACTCTGGAAGCAGCCAAAGCAGCGTGAGAGGGAAGGACTCAAGGAGAACAATGGGAGAGGCCAGGAAGGAGGGGTGACCCTGCCGACGGGAGCTCTTGCGCGAAATGAGACTGACGAGATGGTAGTGGGTCCTAGACTCGGGAGTCCCAGTGACCACTGATGGGCGGCCCTTTCTCCGAGTCCTCCCCGCCTGGCGGGTTGGTCTAAATTTTTGTTTTTTTTTATTTATTGTTCAAAACCAGATCAATAAAACAATCACATTCAATCAATCTCTCATTTCACGACTACGCACTTACACACGTACTCTGCATCAGTCTAGTGATTTCAGTCCACACTGTTCAAATCTCAGTCCACATCACACTCGCACACACGGCGTTAGATCCTTACGAATACCTCACACTGAATTAAGATACCTACACAGATATACTCTGAGCACCCAGACGAGACGTGCATACGGATACCTACCAGGTAGTGAAGTACCTAGGTACCTTGGGTCTCGTGGTGGAGTGAAGGCAGAGATTTCATACGGCGTCTACAGTCCGGCGAGGAACTTTAAGTTAAGGTACGGCAAGGGAAGCGTGCAGATGCTACCAGCCACGCCACGCCACGCTCTCACTTGTCAAGATCTTGAGTTCCCATCTCGAAAAGATGCATCACTTGGGCATCTGTGAGCGATATTACCTCAGCATCTTGACATTTATGATTCGACTCCCCCAATCCCTTGGTCCTTGGGATCTAAAGATCCGAGTTCTATCGCTTGCGCACTTCATCGCGAAATAAACTGCCGGCATGCGTCAACCCCTTTTCCCTACATGATTTACAACTCACAGCGCCTTCGCTACGGGTGAAAAGGGTACCTCATACACAGATGCCGCATGCCTGTGTCAAGGTGCCCAGCGGATTTGCCGCATGCTGGAAAGGCCCCTCTTCCCCTCTTGAGTCTTTTCGGCCGTTCGCGAAAAGCCTCGCGAGTCAAGCTTGGGAGGTGGACTCGTGCGGCACTGCAGCTTGCTGCCAGCGCTTGTCAGTGAGGAGAGTCACTAATTCCCTCCACGAAAGCTTAGATATGCAGTGCCCTGACATACGAGCAGAGAAGCTTTCATGCGGGCAGTGGTAATTGCACGGTGACAGCCACGTTGCCCACAGTCCGAGGCGCCTCTGTACTCCCGAGTCTCCAGCCTCTCGATGGGATCTGCCTGGTCCAATTGATGGTTTGGATGGTTCATCCATGGTTGTCGTCTGCTTAGACGTGGAGACAAGTCCCCTCTTCTGCTCCTAGCGGCGCTGGCGGGAGCTCACCGGAGCTTGGGCGCTCTAGTATGGGTAACGGAGCCAGGAGAATACCAGTTTTGGAAATTGGTTCTAGAAAGGAAAAAAACAAAACATGAATAGGAACCAATAAACAAAACAAAACAAAAAAGACGTCGGGACGCAGTCGCCAGGAAAGAAGAAAAAACAAACACGAGAGCAAGAAACTGTCTACTTCCCCTCGTGATTATCCACTCCAGAAGTCGGCGTAAGACCAGAATCGATTCAAGAGAGACCCATCTAGGGCACTTTCCTCAATCACCACTAACACCTCTATGCTGCCCGTTAAAGGCCGTGATCCTTAGGTCTTAACACTCAGGTTATCCATATACTCGCCAAAATACTACTCACGTACCATCTTAAGCCTTCAGTTGCTTTTATTCTACTCCCGCGATAGTGGGAACTCATTCAGTACCAAAAGATATTGTTTATGTCTTAGGCCTCTAACAATCATCAGGCAAAATCTGTAGTAAGGCAGGCACAGCAGGCTGAGGTGCGCAGTCTGACCATGGACACGACGGGAATGCGCCGCCGGAGGTACCTGCATTAATTGGCACCTGCTCGTCTCGTCCAATCCGGGCTGGGCACCAACTGACCGATGCACCTGCCAACCTGGTTCCCAAGCTGGCGGGCACCTCTTTCCTCTTTCTCATCTTCCATCTCAAAGTACCTCAAAATAAGGTACCTTATCTTGAGATGGAAAGAAGAAAGTGTATCTATGACACGCGACTGCCGCAACATCAGGCCAGCCGTGAATTCGTTTTGCAATCAATTGACTTTTGGACTGAAAATATTCCCACATTGCCGGCCGCAAGCCGCATTTCTCTTCCCACATGAGCCGGGGCTGCACATCGTCACATCGACACGCGAAACCCACCGTGCGGCGTGCTCAGCTATCCGTCCGGCTTTCGCTTTTTTGAGACTCACTGTCTTATTCTCAACGTACCCTCTTACTTGTCCCTGTCTGTCGAGCTGTTTTGCAAATGTCAACCATGGCCATTTCTGCCATTTCATCGTATGGACTACCTATCTCGGACTCGAAAACTTGGCTTTCGTTGCAATTTCCGTCCCGCAACCTGCTTTCGGTCGGTGGATCTGCTGTTATCAGTCTGGGAGGAAGAATCTAGCAAAGTAGCGTTTCGTTTCCCCTGCCTTCCTTGGTCGAGTCATCAAATGCTACCACGACGACATCATCTTGCTCTCACCCGTCCGTTTTGAGCTTCTCCTGAACCAGAACAGGACTTCCGTCACGTCTTGACCTCAGGGCGCGGTCCATTTGCTGGTCCAGCCCGAAGCTCCGTCTCCGAAGAGGCAAAAGCCGCTGTCGATCACCTTGCCAGCGCCGAACTAAGCCTCCTGGCGGATGGAACTGTGCCGGCACGATCAGGCCTTGTAACCATGGACTCAACCGACGACATCTGTCCATGCCTGATGTGCCAGTCTGCTCTGTGGGACAATCAAAGCGTGCAAGGCATCGACTACCTATTGCGTATCTAATCTAATGTATTCAAGAGTAGAAAGTGCTGTCTCCCGCTTTGGACTTTCTCCTCAGCTTGACCATAGTACAAATGCGATCCATTGTGGTGGAGCCGAGACACACAACACCACAGGGCATTCGTTCGTTGTGCTCCCTCGCGGCCCTCTTCTCCGGAGTGATACCGCCGCTCAGGAAGTGCAGAATCTCGTCTCGTAACGTCGGCGCCGAGATTCAACTCGTCCAGGCAGTCAATTCGTCACTCGTGGCCAGATACCATGCCACTTCCAAGCTTCGGTTCGCAGCACTCACCTGCAACCGACAGAGTCTAGCCAATGGGCCCCAGGACTTGCTACTCCTAGCGCACCCTGCGCTCTCTGACTGACACCAACACATCGGCCGACGTTCCAGGTAATGTCTGACAGCTTTGACACCAATGTCTCGCATTTTATCCGACATGCCTCTGGTCCAGGAGAGCAAAGCCTAAGACTCCTCGTGTTTTCTCATCAGTTCAGCAGCATGGAGTCATGGGCGATTGGCTCCCGGGTCACGGTTCACATACCTTTTGCAGAAAAGCAACACAAGCCACCCAACACACCCAATGGCACCCATCCGACCCAAGGTGGCAGCCTCTGCACTGTCTGCAGAGCAGAGCCCAGATGCTGGATCTTGCCGAACATCCATCGTTCCGACCATTCATCGGCCTTTCCATGCCCATGTCTATCCCATCTTCAGGGACTGGCGGGTCACAGTGGCTTCCATAGCAGCAGATACCCTACCGCTACTTACGCTCTCGAGGCCCTAGCCAGAGACCAGGCGGTAATCCGCATGTACTCTTCTGTCTCA